TTAATCGTCAAACCCGATTAACATTTTAATCGTTAATTTTTAATCGTTAATCAGATTAACAGTTTGCCAACACTGTGTGAAAGCACTTAAGCGAATTTTGTTTACTTCTTCAATGAGGAAGGTATCCGAATCCCTAAGAGACCAAATAATGGAGGAGCACTCCCACGTAGAAATTACTGCAAGCGAAATTTTTTTCGAATGGTATCTAACTATCTATATACACAGAGAAATTTACGTTTTCAAATTTGTATGGAACGTTTTATTTTTAAAAACGTTTTGACCCAGGTTTTGCACCTAAAATATTTATTTTAGTTTTGAGAAAAAACATCCTCAATTCATATTCTAAAATGTATATTTTAGTTTTTAAAATGAACAGTTTCAAATCTCTTTTAAAACGATCGTTTGATAATTGGAAATTCTCATATTCAGATGAGATTCTAAAATTTTTATTTTATATACAAAATATGCGTTTTCAAATATGATTTTGAATTTCTATTTTGATTAAAACACAAAGTCATTTGATATTTAAAACTATACATTGTCATACATTTATTGATATACTAGCTTATACCCGCGGGTTTCACCCCGCGCTATTATACAAATATGAAAAATATTTTAATGATGTTAGATTTTATTTCTGTGCCCATTTCGTTATAGCTCGTTATTTTTCAATCCCTCTAAGTTTACCTTAAAATGTTTCCAGGTATACGACGCGTGAACGTGTAACCTTCTTGGAGGTGCCACGGCGAGTTCTAATATTTCCAACTCAAATTTAGTAGCCTGGCCTTGATAAAATACCACTTCTCATTACTGTAGCAAATGCCTCAAGGGAGCTTTAGATTATAAGGCCGAAAACGGCTCTCCCTTTTCCATTTAATGAAATTTATTCTGTCAGTACGGCACTTATAAATAAATCTCCATAACAAATTTAAAATACTTCGAGCGATTTTCTATTCTTCCAGAGATATGTATTAAGAAGTTTTTAGTATGTATGGGAGGCGACATGCCTCCTTTTTTAATAACTCACATTTTTTCCATGAGCAATTGATACATTTTGTATACACAACTCCATACCAAGTTCCAGTATTCTTCCACAAACACTTCCAGCGATATGTGGCAAGAAAAGTAAATTTGTACTGGAAGTGCCACGCGCCTTTTTCTTATAACCCTAATCTTCTTCCATGAATTTAGAATTGATTTTACATACCCCAGTACCAAGTCCCAGTACTCTACCATGAACACCTCTAGAGATAAGCAGTATAAAACAGTAAATTTGTACGGCAGGAACCATGTCTCCTTTTCGAATAACGCAAATTCTTCTCCATGAGTATGGAATTAATTTTGTATACACATCTCGGTGCCAAGTTCCAGTCCTCTGCAATAAACACCTCCAGAGATATGCAGCATAGAAAAATCAATTTGCATGGGAGTTGCCACACCACCTTTTCCAATAACTCTCATTTTTCTCCATGAGTATGGTATTAGTTTCACATCCATACCAAGCTTGAGTGCTTTACCCCAAACATTTGAAGAGATATGCAATATGAAAACCTCCATTTTTCTCCGTGAATATAAACATGATTTCACACAGTGTTGGCAAACTGTTAATCTGATTAACGATTAAAAATTAACGATTAAAATGTGAATCGGGTTTGACGATTAAAATTAATTAGTCGTAATCAACTGTACGATTAATGATAACATTTTTTTAATCGTTAATCGGTGGCTGCGATTACGTTTAAATAATTTAAAACATTAATCGTTAATCCAATTAAAAATAAAATCTGAT